AAATGCTTTTTATTATTTCATACTTTTAAACATTGTAAAAACTTCACATATAAGCGTGATGTATGTATTTCCATTGGGCTCCTATCCGAGAAGTAAAGCATTTTGTCAGAACACTTCACAAAATATCTCATCTTCTTGAGGCTTGAGACGTCTACACAGCATAAGTGCTACCACACCCCTTTATCTAACCAAACAGCTGAAGAATTCTAAAACAGACTAGGATGCAACGAGTGATCTGCTCAATAACTAACAAGTGGGTAAAATTCGAGAAATATTACACGAGCAGGTGAAAAGTTGTTGAGTAAACAAAATGACATTTTAAAAACCGCAATAAAAACACTTCAAAATAAAAAAAGATAAAAACGTCAATTCTCGAGGAATGACAAACACGTTGAGATCACTACACCCGCGCTGAGAGCCGCCATTTGTGATACACGTAAAGCAACCTTTACTTACACCCCTACACAAGGTCATATGCGACAGACATAAAGCAACCAATACTTTACACCTTTACACCTTAACACAATGTCATATGCGAATACATGTAAAGCAAGCGTTACTTTACACAATGTCATATGTGATACACGTAAAGCAAGCATTACTTTACACCGTAACACAATGTCATATGTGATATGTGTAAGGCAACCATTACCTTACACACCTTTACACAAGGTCATAATATGTGATACACGTAAAGTAACCATTACTTTACACCTCTACACAATGTCATATGCGATACACGTAAAGTAACCGTTACTTTACACTGTAACACAATGTCATGTGTGATATGTGTAACGCAACTGTTACTTTACACCCCTACACAATATCATATACGACAGACATAAAGCAACCAATACTTTACATCTTTACACAATGTCGTATCTGATACACGTAACGCAACCTTTACTTCACACAATGTCATCTTCCTTCCTTACAGTAACTGAGAGAGGTGTCTAGCTGTCTAAACCACTAACAACTTACATGTGGAGAGACCAACAAAAAAACCCAATTAAAATCTAAACTTGATGTCTGTACAATTACAAAATTTAAAACATATCAACATCTCTGTAACTGTAACAACGTGACAGAAGTATACAAGGTATGGGCAAGTCACCTGGGTCACTATATATAAAGTACAAACTCGTGAATCAAACTGCAACTACGACTAATGAAGTTTTGTGTATATGTTGTTGGGATCTGGTTTTCATCATCGCTTATTCAACACATGAGAACAGGGTATCATATAGCACACCTACGATCAAGTTATTCATCAAAGGCCTATATAACATAACCACAAATGTATTATGCAAAGAAATCACTTATTTATTACGAAGCTTATGTAATTAAAAACTGAAGAATAGTTCTTGAGGTATCATAAAAAGGCAATCAAAGATATTTTCTTAAATCAATTTTTTTTTAATTAAAAAGAAATGCAATTTATTTGTAGGTAGAAAGTGATTGGCAACCAAAGGACACGCACCCCTATCTTCTAACAGCTTGATATTTATTTTCACTTTATGGAAAAAATATCTAGAGTGGAAAATGTAAATTCAAGCTACATACAACTAACTTATAACTAGAGGTCTTGACTGCATGCGCATGTGACATAACCACTACCACTAGGGCGATCAAAGAATCACATTGACAGTTATACATGGCATATCACTATCACCGAGCTGCTAAAGCAGCAATAATAAACGCGATACAAAATGTCGGTCTATAGTGTCATGCTAACAAAGCTAAAAGCCGCATTTCATTTTCAGTTGCAACCTCAAAGAAATGAAAAGTCGAGAAGTGGCTAGTGGCTAATCGGGTTTGAAGCTGATACTTTGGCTCCAGGCCACACATGAAGAAAGCGCCACCCACTGGTCTTCTGACACAGAGACAGACAGAGAAAAAGTCAGTGGTGAAAAACATTCACAAACTCAAGAAGAGAGTGAATCCAGGCACAAAATATTAATGAGATATGACCTCAGGCAGGAGATTCGTTATCTACACAAACATTCCCAGACTTGTTTTAGTTGAGGTTTTACGGCGCTCACAACTGCATAAGGTCATATATGAGCGCCAGAAGATTAGAGGTGTTACAAGAGAGTAACAGACATAAAAAAAAAGGAGGGGAGAAAAGGACGACAGATGTTTGATAGGAAAGAAGAAGCAAACCACACCAGAGCACCCGCCAACCACCCACATTCACAGACTGAATCAGGAGACATGTCCTTCGTGTCTCACATAAAATATTTAGTTTTGGAAAGAGTTTTAGAATACTTGCAACAAAAATAGGTAATAAAAGTGCCAAAGATTAGCTCAGGTGGTACCAGAGAATAACATAGATAAAAGAGAGGTGAAAGGGGAAAGATCGGGATGAAAGATATTTGACAGGAAAGAACTAGCAAAACCACACCAGAGCAGCCAGCAACCACCCACGCGCGTGGAAAAGTTTACCGGACTCTCAAACCACAAAAAAACATAGAGAGACACTGTCAAACATCACACAACTTCCTACACACAAACGGTACAACACAGGGAGACAAAATCACTCCTTGAGACAGCTGTTCCGCATTCACATGTACATTCATACATAGCCACAACCCAGACATAGCCACAGCCCATACAGTGTCGTACATACATACAGACATAGCCACAACCCATACAGTGTCGTACATACATACATACTCTACATGCAGTTCGTAGGAGTGTCCGAAAGTTCCCACTGAAAGTAGGAAACATGACTAAACGAAAAAAAAACCCCCGAACAATCTGACGATCGGTACATATGAGCACATCTTTGTACAGTTTCTACAGCCCGGTTTCATAAATTATTCACAACGGAACGAAATCCTCACACATAGGGCGAACATTTTAATATCTTTGGCAGCACACAGGGAGATCTTTGCCAAACCATGACACTCAAGTTCAAAGACGTCCACCTCCACCACACCCCTCAGCACAAAAAAACAGTTTTAGTTTTAGTAAGTGTTTTACGGCACTTGCAAAACAATAAGGTCATATAAGTGCCCCGAAGAATAGATTATGTGTTGCAAGAGAGTAACAAACACAAAAAAGAAGCAGGGGAGATAAGGACGACAGGTGTCTGATAGGAAAGAAGAAGCAAGCAAACCACACCAGAGCACCCGCCAACCATCCACCGACAAAAAACCATCACAACAATACCACTTTAAGCAGCTAAAGACAATTCATTCACATTATCTAAAAAACAAATTTTTTTAAAAACTTAATATGTCAGAAAATAAAACTGGTGGCTCTCTCTCACTAGCTGATTGCAAGGCAGGCATTGCACTTCATAGAGTACCGTACAATAATTCTTAGAAGATTAAAGAATATAATATCTTTAATTAACTAACATAAAATCTATTTCTGAAAGTGAAACAAAACAATTTTTGTGTAGTAAAACAAAACAAGTGCTGTAGGAGTGGCTGATGTGATATCTAGTCCGACCGCATCTACAAGTCTGCCGTAAGCTGATGAAATGCCTTTTTTTTTTTTCATTTGGCCGTCAACATTTTGTATTTGCTGAATCAAAAGTCTGATCAGTAACCCTACCTGTGAAGAAAAAATCTGAGTGAAATTGTGACTCCTTTTTGAATAAATTAGAATTCAAATTTTGGAATGACTCGATTTTTCAATAGTTACCCAGACAAAAAAAAATCTTTTTTTAATGAAATTGCTGTGAAGAAACAAAAGGCGTTTTGTCAGCTTGCGGCAGAACATGTTTCTATGTCTGATAAGTTTTAGTTTTAGTAGAGGTTTTACGGCGCTCGCAACTGCATAAGGTCATATGAGCGCAAGACGACTAGAGGTGTTACAAGAGAGTAACAAACATAAAAAAGAACGAGGGGAGATAAAGACAATAGATATTAGATAGGAAAGAAGAAGCAAACCACAGCAGAGCACCCGCCAAGCACCCACTGTCTGAGTAAAGAGAAGCACACCGACTCAATAAAGGTCATTTAGTGCTGGGAAAAAACATAAGACAGGGACAGACAGAAACTACAAAGTACAAAGGGAAAGTAAACACATTATAAGACAAACCAGTGGCGCCCTCCAGCCACCCTCATGTACAGACAGCGTTACCTAGAGTGGGCAAACTAGGAACAAACAAAACAAAATATGTGAACCCAGTTTTTAGACGAGGAGAGGATGATGATGGGACATTGGTATTTTTTGGTTTTTATCGTGGATTCCTGATCAACAACGTTCCCACTTCTCCCATCGCATTAACAAACAGAGAGAGAGGGAGAGAGGGAGAGAGGGTGGGAGAGAGAGAGAGAGATGGGGGG